AGATACAAAATGCTGGGTGGAAGTCCTAGTGTGCTCAGTTATTGAAGTGCTATGTTGTGTGCTGACTGTATTTTATTTAGTCAAGTCAATGTATTTTCGGGTGCATAAGTCGTTATGTTCAGTTCTTAAAACAAATATGCATGTGGTAACACAATTATGTTGAGTTAAAATGATATGTTGTAGGGTGTTACAGTTATTATGTTCGGTTATAATAATATGCTGTTTGGTGCTCTTCTCATCATGTTCAACCATGAAAATAAACAGTTGAGTGGTACTATCATTTTGTTTGGCTGAGGCAGTGTACTATTGGGTGATACTTTTATTATTTTCAGTTGCAATGACATGCTGTTGGGTGCCTTATTCCTTCTGTTCAGTCGTGAAATAGAACTGTTAAATGGTACAATCATTATCTTAAATGGTACTATCATTATCTTGTGTGCTGTTATATCTTCTTCAGTCAAGTCAATGTGTTGTTCGGTGCAAAGGTCGTTATGTTCAGTGGTTTTTGGTACTATCATTATGTTCAGTTCAAATGATAAACTGTTCGGTTGCAAAGAGGCCATTATGTTCATTTAGTTAACACAAACTGTTGTTTGTGATACCACACTTATGTTGGGTTCATTCGGATATCTTCGGGCAACAAAAATGGGAGCGACTAATTTCCATAGATCACGTCGAGGCTAAATGACCACTAAATTGCCAAAACAATTTTTTCTTCCCTGTAAATATCACCGGGGGCTTAAGAACGTTATTTTCATAAATTGGACTTTTAAATACCAAATGGGTATTTTTATTTAGTTAATTCATGACTATACTATACTGTTACCGTCATAATGGGTACAGTATATAAAACTTAAAAAATATGGGTAAGGGTAGCCTGTTAAAGTCACACAATGACCACCGTAAATAAAACTTAAAATTTATCTGTTTGGTAACCTATAAGAGTCACAAATAGACACAGCAAACGAAATTTAAAATATAAAACATTATTTACAAGTGCGGGAACCCTATTTGAGTCACACATGGCCGCAGTATATGGAGCATATAAGTAAGGGTAGCCAATTAAAGTCACATATGACCACAGCATATGCAACTTTAAATATATGTGTTGGTAACCCACTTGAGTCACATATAATCACAATAAATGGAACATAATATTTAAGTAAGGGAAACATATTTGAGTCACATATGGCCACAGTATATGGAACATTAAATATAAGTAAGGGTAGCGCAATAAAGTCACACATACCCACATTATGAAGAACATTCTATATAAGTAAGGGAAACCTAATTGAGTCACACTAGGCCAAAATATATAGAACATTATGTTTAAGTAAGGGAAATCTTTTTGAGTCACACATGACTAAAGTATTTATAAAGAACATTATATATAAGTAAGGGTAGCCTAATCAAATTAGACTCAAATACATTTCCCTGACTTAAACATTATGTCTAATATATTGTGGCCATGTGTGTCCCAATTAGGTTTCACTTACTTATATAGAATTTTCTTTATATTTTGGCCATGTTTGACTTTATTAGGCTACCCTTACTTATATATAATGTTCCATTTACTGTGGTTATGTGTGACTCAAATGGGTTACCAACACATATATTTTAAGTTGCATATGCTGTGGCCATATGTGACTTTAATAGGCTACCCTTACTTATATGCTCCATATACTGTGGCCATCTGTGTCTCAAATGGGGTTTCCATACTTATATTTAACGTTCCATATACTGTTGCCATGTGTGACTCAAATAGGTTTGCCTTACTTGTATATCATGTTTCATATTTTAAATTTCGTTTGATGTGTCCACTTGTGAGTCTAAAAAGTTACCAACACATATATTTTAAGTTTTATTTACGGTGGTTCATGTGTGACTTTAACAGGCTACCTTACCCATATTTTAAGTTTTATATACTGTGCCTAATATGACTGTAACAGTATAGTATAGTCATAAATTAACTTGATAAAATACCCATTGGGTATTAAATATGCCCATAATACCATCTGTCCAATTTATGGAAATAACGTTTTTAAAGCTCCCGATGGTATTTACGGGGAAGAAAATTGTTTTGGCAATTTAGTGGTCATTAGCCTCGACGTGACCTATGGAATTAGTTGCTCCCGCCCGCCATCTTGTTTGACGCGAAAATATCCGAATGAACCCAACATAATTGTATGACCACTCAACGCATTGTCAAATGACTTGTGCACCGAACAGTATATTCATCTGAACTGAACATAATGACGGTATCAACACCACAGTTTTGTGTTCACTACTGAACATAATGACCTCTGCACCAAACACGATATCATCTGAAACTGAACATAAATGACGGAATCAAACAAAAAGTTTGTGTTCCACTACTGAACAATAATGACCTCTGCAAGCAACCAAACAGGATATCATCTGAAACTGAAACATAATGAACGGTATCAACAAGCAAAGTTTGGTGTTTCACTTACTGAAACATAAAACCTCTGCATCGAACAAGTAACAATCAATCTGAACTGAACATAATGACTTCTGCAACCGAACAGTATATCTCCAAAATCCCCTTTTGGAAAAAAAGCTGAACATAATGGACGGTATCACAACAGCAGTTTTGTGGTTCACACTACTGAAAACATAATGACCTCTGCATCGAAAACAGTAAATATTCATCTGAACTGAAACACAATAACAGGTATCACACAACATTTTTGTTGTTCACTACTTGAACATAATGACTTCTGCAAAACCGGACAGTATATTCATCAGAACTTGAAACATAATAACGGTATCAACATTCATTATTGAACATAATGACCTCTGCACCGAACAGAATATCATCTTAACTGAACATAATGACGGTATCATAACAACAGCTTGTGTGTTAACTACTGAACAGAATGACCTCTGCACCGAACAGTATATCATCTGAACTGAACATATTGATGATAGGTAATCACACAACAGTTTTTGTAGTTCACTACTGAAACATAATGACCTCTGCACCGAACAGTACATCATTTGAACTGAACATAATGATAGTACTATTCAACAGGTCTATTTCACGACTGAACAGTCTGAATAAAGCACCCAACAGCATGCCATTGCAACTGAAAATAATAAAAGTATCACACAATGATACACTGCCTCAGCCAAACGAAATGATAGTACCACTCAACTGTTTATTTTCATGGTTGAACATGATGAGAAGAGCTATTTTAACCGAACATAACAACTGTCACACCCTACAACATATCTTTTTAACTCAACATAATTGTGTTACCACATGCTTGTTTGTTTTAAGAACTGAACAGAACGACTAATGCACCCGACAATACGTTGACTTGACTGAATAAAATGTAATCAGCACATAACATGACACTTCAATAACTGAGCGCATTTGGATTTCCACCCAGTATATTGGGATTTTGACCCAGCATATTGTATCTCGGACTCAACAGAATGACATTTAACCATGTATATCAGACATTCCACACATAAGACAGTCCAGGCGTTCCATACTTTCCGAGCAATCGTGTTTGCTGATTGTATAAAACTATAGGGACTTATTTCTTTTATAACCTACGTGTTCTGGTATTTGCTTTTGCTCGGTAGTGTGTATAGATACCATTTTTACCTAGGGATTTACTGCATCAGGTGCATTACATATATCAGATTTATGAAGTATGTTCTAAAAGCATTTCAATCAACTATTTCCAGTGCAGAAATTTTCAAAAATGAAAATTAACCGTACTTGAAACGTTTTAAAGGTAGTAAAATCTACTAATTGCGTATTAAACTGTAATACAATTCGTCATTAGTTTGTATAAGTTCGTTTTTTTTCGGTGTCTCACCAACAAGTAATTAGCATCTGCATGACTTATTAAATTACAAAAAAAGCAAATATAGCTGAAAATACTTTTGTAAATTTAAGTTAACATTGCCATATGGAATAGGTATATTTTAATTGGTAATATAGAATGTTGATGATATTTTTTGGAATTATGTACCTGGAAGCATAAACTGATTTCGATAATGGATAAACTATCTGTAATGATACTCATGTTTTGATAATTCAAGATCAACTTGTTCGTTTATGAAACAGCAGTGCCGCTTAAAATTATGTTAAGCCGCATAAGCAGCCTCTGCATTGGCTATTTATGTGTAGCATGTTTACCTACCAAAATTCCTTCTAAGGCAACATTCAGTTTGTAAAAATGGTTATAATCAATATAAATTACTAATAACGTCATTCCATGTTCTCTGGCCGTACTATATTTTTATACAGTAGTGATAGGTGTCCAATATTACTGTGTAAGTCCAATATAAATTGTGTAACACATTAATATTAGAAAACGTGCCGTGTGGTGAAAATATGCATGACCACAGAACTTTGTCCTGTGGTACAACAGATATCAAATCAAAAATAAGAAAATATCACTTTGTTGCGTGAATGTCCAAATTTCACACTAATCGTCATTTAAACACAACATTTTACAACCGTGATCTGGTGATCCGGTGAAAGTTTTGGTTAATTAAAATAAAAGCTCAAATGAGAATTCACGCAAAATATTATTATAATTATGCTAAATAGTGAGTATCAAATCTCCTTGAAAGACATTCATCGTCTGAATCAATCATTCAAAATATTAGAGATATTTATAACAAATTTGAAAAAAAAAATATTTTTTGTAAAAATCCCCAATGTAAATTGATGAATACTACATGCGTGTAAAGTCCAACATTTTGTGTAACTTTTATAATTTGTGTATGTCATTGTTTTACCAAGAACAGCATGTATCTTGTAAATGTTGCGGTTAAACAAGATGCTCAATTGTCAGTTGAAAAAATAACAAGTCGAAATAGTCGTTTCACTTTTAAATAAGAATGTTTGACAAGTATCCTATTTGATGAGTAAAAAGAAATAACGCCTTGAATTTGCCCAAGAAAATACAAAGGCTGGTACAGTCGAGTTATTTAAAAAATATCAAAATCGACGAACTTGTGTTTTGCCGTTACTATTGCACCATTTATTTTTTTTGTTGCAACTACTGCCTGACTTGCTTACTTGTCTCAAGTGACGACTTTAAGTCAACAATCCTTGAAAACGGCGGCATTATTCAAGATTGTACGTGCCAAAAAAAATTCAGAGAATTAACCAATGAAAATGATTGCACTGGGTCGAAGATAGTAAGAAATGATAAAACGTAGCGTTTAAGAAATTCGAAAAAGTAATGCATTTTTTTATTGTTGCTATTGTTTGTTGTGTTTTTTTTTTCAGAGAACTAAACAATATATGAAATATTACTACAAGACAATCTACAAGGATGAGAATGAGGATCTACCAACATCAGAGTACTGTCTCTTCTTTCCATTTTGGGATATAATTACATTTTTGTCGGATATATGTACTTCAATTGGGACTTTTTTAATAGTTTTTAATGATCAGGTATAATACATTATGAGATTTTCTATATCTTATTGTACAAGATTTCTAGTAAAGTGCAGTCTTACTTTGCCTGACGTTTCGTCATCAGTTACATTGAAAATATTCAAATGCCTTCGCGCCAAACGGTTTATATGATAAGAAAACAATAAAATCATAATCGCCTAACTTGAAGTATCATAAATCAAACGTTAGCATTGTATCAGTTTATGTCGTAATTTTTTTTGTGGTTGGGGTTACGTGGCACCAACACGGTAGAGGTCATATAACGATTTTTCAGCTAATCTGGTGGAGAAAGACCACAGGTGCCCTTCCATACATTAATTCGGGAACGAACGGAGACATAAGTAGAACGATCGTCGTTCTGCAAGCTAGTTGGATAGCCGTCTCACAGGAAAGAGTCCATGTTCCTATATGGATTTGAACAAACAGTGGTAGTGGTAAGGGCCAGGCGGTTTGAGGTTAACGGCCTGAACAACTTGGTTATTATTTTTCAATTGTAAAATGATAGACAAAACTAACGTTTGTTAAATATAAAACTGGTTTAAGAATACAAATCGTGATGAATGCAACAATGGTTTATAACATCATTTATAACTTAAGCATGGCGAATGGTTGCTCGAGGAATTAGATTTATACATCATGTTGTTGGGACTAGGTTGTTTGCTAGCATGGCTAAGTTTACTGAGGTTCTTCGAGTTTTATTCAAGATTCAACGTGAGTATAAAACAATGTTGTCCATCAAGTCTGTGATAATGTATACTCAAACCAATTACAAGAAATGAAATTAGAGATAAAGTTCTATAAAATGTTTACATTAATTATTTCAAATTGAAATGTTACATTGTTTTGACATTTTATACTTTTTTTACTTTGAAAATTCGTTTTTTTTTTAATTTGAATTGTGTTGAATCAATTAATTGTTTGAAGTAGAAGTGGATTATATTGTTTGAAGTAGGAGTAGATTATAACAGTGACTATTTACCACCCGTAATGCATAACCTCTACATTGAAGAGTATTCAGATAGTCCAGAATCACTGCCAACTGCATTAAAACGGAGGAGCGTTGGTTCAAACCCAAAAAGGGAAACAATCATTTTGCTAGTGTAATTTGATACCTGAATGTTATTAATTGTTTCTTAACAATGGGCAATAGGATAACATTTTTCATAATGATGATATTATAGAGTTGCTGTGCACACAGGTGACCTTTAAGGCATACAACTTTCCTAAGTTGTCAAATTTACAGTTATTTATAGCATCATCAGGGATGGTCTTATGTTTATTTAAAACACAAAAAAGAAAATTGTAAGAACATATTGGATAGTCTATATTTAAAAATTTCATCAAATTGTACTCATGTCAACAGGAAACTAATTAAAATTTGTTCATATATTGTAGATTATAAAGAACTTAATATTCTTTATTATTGCAGTTGTTATTTAGAACGATATACAAATCATGTCCGGATATCATTACTTACCTTATTTGTGTAAGTGTGTTGTATGTCGGTTTCCTTTTCTGTGGTTATATCGTCATGGCCCCGTACCATGTCAAGGTTTGTTCAATTAATATCATTGCACGTTAAAACATGATCTATTTGAATAGCTGAAAACTTAAGACGTAGTTACGATTGGTATTCGTAATTAATATATATTTACTAAGTAAATCAGTTTATAAAGCAGTTAACATAAAACTTTTAAAGGTTGTATAATTATGTCTTTTTAATTAAACTGTTCATTGACATTTTCGACATGAAAAGGGTCATCATAATTATTTATCCACCTTTTGACGTTTTCTTTGTTTCTGTTATTCTAGTTTAAAACACCGTCAGATGCCGCAGAGACGTTGTTTTCTATTATTAATGGTGACGAGATATTCACTACACTGGCACTACTGGAGTCCGATAAGAGTGGTGGTAACTGGGTATGGTGGTTTTCAAGGTTTTACGTTGGAGCATTCGTTGCTATATTTACAATTCTTGGCATCAACCTCTTTATAGCTCTCTTCCTGAATGCATATGAATCAATTAAGGTACATTTGCCTTATAATTCTACATCAAGTATTTTATTTTTTTATTTTTTTTGATCTTTGCATTTTTAACTATATTTATTCAGTGGTTTTATAACTGAAAGAAAATAATACATTTTAATGAATTAAAAATAATACAATAAACATTACCTGCGGATAATTTAGCTGATTTTTTCCATGTTGTATTTTTTCATCATTTTTGCTCCGCGTGGGACAATGCCAAAACACATATCGTGTTCGATCGAAAATACGACATGGCATAAATCGGCCAACAAAGCGAGTGTATTTTTATTTTTCACATAAAATTTACTGAATGATTTTGAAATATGATAACAAAGAATTGGAATTTCATTTTCATACCGCCGAAAAAATAGCGTATACCGTTATGTATCTAGTTGCCTGTCCATCTATAAGCAAGTTCGTGTTTGCTCTGTTTTTTAAACGACATGACGTGCAGTATACAGAGATATGCTTAAATAGTATATTAACTGTGCATCTCCTACGTATTAGATAGAAAAGGCCTTATTATTACTTTACAACTCTTACGTAGGATGCATATCAAAGTATTGGAAATACAGAATGCAACACATATGAAAGCTAGAGCTTAACTGATTGAGAAACATATGACATGTCAATATGAAAATAATTTCTATATGTCAAATTGTTATTGCGGCAAGCTGCATTAGTAACTACCCACATTGTGAAGCCAGGGATGATTTTGTGCTAAGATTAGGCCTAATTAGAACTTTATGTCTCCAACGTAGGAGTTATAAAGTCCTGTGTATGACTTATAAAGTTCTACGTAGGAGTTATCCTTTTTATAGAACATTATGGATTGGCACAATGATGCCTCCGTATATAATTCTTTTTAATCTTATTTGACCAACGGAAAAAAATAAATATCTTTTAGAACGCACCCGCTATGTTTACTTCTTAAAAAGAGTTAAACAGTCTTTTTATGATTACGGTCGTTTTTATTTTGTATCTAACAATGTACATACTCAGTTATATTATTACAATAATAATGTAACTAATTCAATTAAACTTGACGGCGACAAAATGAGCCTAAACACTTAAAAGTACAGTAAACATTTCGTAATAAAATAATCTGTTTCTACAAAATAACGATGCTCAGAGCAGCATCACCTGTTGGTCCCTTACAAATGAAATAAATCAATATTTTGGAGCCAACATTTGTCCCGCCCTGAAGTAATAGAGTTTATTATAAATGGAATATAGGAATACACAGTCATTTAAAATCCTTCTGTGGAAAAATACAATGCATAGACCATCGATATTTGTCATGTAGCATGTCACAGAATACCTACGTCTACAAAAGTTATTTGTGAAACATTTAATTTTGGTACAAAGAAATAAACATAAAATATGTTTCGGAAACACTTTAACAACAGACCTCTTCAGTATTATAATACTCTACATTCGGGTGTTGTACATGTATTTGTTTTGTATTAACAAAAAGTGGATTCCATTTTTACAATATTGCTGCGAAATGTTTTCACACATTGATGAAATGTTTAAGACTCGCTTTGATTTGTTTAATGTCTTTTTTACGATTTATTTTTAAGAAATGTCAACAAGGGGAACGAGAATTTGGTCCGATTGGAAAATTGCTTAACCTTGTTCTTAAACAAGAACAGAATGAACATAATTTGCACAAAGTGCTATATAATACAATGAATAACACGAACGAGAACGACGCTTTACTGAAACGGGAACTTTCCAAATACCTGCACATTCCAGAAGGAAAACCACAACTGGTGTTAATCAAAAGGAGGGGAACTTTACAAGCGTTTATAAAGGACGGCGGGGACGGAGATGAGACGTTATGTAAAAGTGATAAATGCGGAAGTGTTACGTGCTACTGGGATCTTTGTTAGAATGTTAGAGGATAACAAAACAAAATTAGATTTCAGGTTGCAGTGTAATAGCGTATCATGTATCATAGTATTATAAAACCAGTAATTATCATTTACATTCTGAAACCTTTTAGGTTAATTGTAGTTTTCCGGCATAATCAAGTTGCAGTTTGTTATTTCATAACTGTAGTGCGCTTATTCCATTTTTAGCTCACCTGTCACAAAGTGACAGGGTGAGCTTTTGTGATCGCTTTTCGTCCGGCGTCCGTCGTCCGTCGTCCGTCGTCCGTAAACTTTTACTTTAAATGACATCTCCTCATAAACCACAAGGCCAATTTCATCCAAACTTCACAGGAATGTTCCTTTGGTGGTCACCTTTAAAAATTGTTCAAAGAATTAAATTCCATGCAGAACTCTGGTTACCATGGCAACCGAAAGAAAAAACTTTAAAAATCTTCTTTTAAAAAACCATAAGAGCTAGAGCTTAGATATTTGGCATGAAACATCTTCTAGTGAGTGTCTACCAAGTTTGTTCAAATAAAAGCCCTGGGGTCAAAATTGGCCCCGCCCCGGGGGGTCATTGATTTTCCCTATATGCATATAGTAAAACTTTAAAAAATCTTCTTTTAAAGAACTCAAAGAGCTATGGCTAAGATATTGAGCATCAAACATGTTCTAATAGGTGTCTACCAAGTTTGTTCAAAGAAAAGCCCTGGGGTCAAAATTGGCCCCGCCCCAGGGGGGCATTGATTTTCCCTATATGCATATAGTAAAAACTTAAAAAATCTTCTTTTAAAGAACCAAAAGAGTTAGAGCTAAGATATTTAGCATGAAACATGTTGTAATAAGTGTATAACAATTTGTTTCAAATAAAAGCCCTTGGGTCAAAATTGACCCCGCCCAGGGGGTCATTGATTTTCCCTATATATGCATATAGTAAAAACTTAAAAAATCTTCTTTTAAAGAACTCAAAGAGCTATGGTTAAGATATTTAGCATCAAACATGTTCTAATAGGTGTCTACCAAGTTTGTTCAAATAAAAGCCCTGGGGTCAAAATTGGCCCCGCCCCGGGGGGTCATTGATTTTCCTTATATGTGTATAGCAAAAACTTAAAAAATCTTTTTTTTGAAAAAACCCAAATAGCTAGAGTTAAGATATTAAGCATGAAACATCTTTTAGTGAGTGTCTACAAAGTTTGTTCAAATAAAAGACCTTGGGTCAAAATTGGCCCTGCCCGGGGTCATTGATTTTCCTTATATGTGTATAGCAAAAACTTAAAAATCTTCTTTGAAAAAACCCAAATAGCTAGAGTTTAGATATTAAGCATGAAACATAATCTAGTAAGTGTCTACAAAGTTTGTTCAAATAAAAACCCTGGGGTCATTAACTGGCCCGGCCCCAGGGGTGTCATTGTTTTTAACTATATGTGTATAGTAAAAAACTTAAAAAAAATCTTCTTTTAAATAGCCATGAGCTAGAGCTTAGATGTTTAGCATGAAACATCTTCTTATGGGCGTCTACCAAAGTTTGTGCAAATAAAAGCCCTTTGGTTAAATTGGCCCTGCAACGTTTGGGGGGGGGGGGTGGGGGTTGGGGGGCCTATATACAGGTGAGCGACCTCAGGGCCATCATGGCCCTCTTGTTTTGTTTCCATTCGTTCGTTTAACTAAATCATTACCATGTTTTATTTGCTGGCATGAGTTTTGTTCAATTTCCTCTATAACGAGTGTATACACATTAACTTACAAGATTGTGAAATATCTGTACAATGAATCAATCATAGAAATAAACGATTGGACAAACACTGGAAACCGATTGGTTAACTTGTCAGTAAATTGCGGTTTTAATACAAATGTCATACCCATTGATAATAATGATTAGATTTTATATACAAATTGTATTCTGGAAGAAATATTTTGAATAAATTTGAATAATTGACAATCATGAAATAAGGAATGAGACAGAATCAAAACCTATATATCTCGGCATTTTTCATATATATTTCCTATGGCATGCTTATCAAGGTCCCATATCAATCCTTAAGAGCATGCACTTACCATTACTTTTTGCCATTTGCTTGTACAATTGCAATAATAACAATAATAATGATAATGATTAAATCTTCAGGTTACTTTCAAAGTATTCAAGGGAGCTAATTATTATATATGTATCACGTTTCAAAATAATATACATCACATCATATAAGGCCCAGTATTATATTGTTCCGCAGAAATATGATGAGTATAAATTATATTGAAAACTAAACTTTGTATATATTTAAATATATCCATGTAAACATTTTACCTATTCAGGAAAATATAGATTTAGCTATATCCACTTATCCTTGTTAACATTTATTTACACTTTACTTATTCAGCTTTTTATCAAAATTGTGTCTTGGCTTGTTATAATGTTTTAAGGAAATATAAATTATGCATAACTCTGAAAGTTAGTAATTATTCACTTAACTTAAGTTTTCAATTTTCGTACTTGCTCGAGCGGTTTAGGTCGTTGACTACAAACAATTTGCTCTTCATCGCTTTGGGTTCGAATCCCGACAGGGACTTTGGATTATTTCACTTTGCGAGGAAGCTGTACAGCTAGCATACGTAACGTCGGTGGTTCTACTCATGTATATATGTGTGCATGTAATAGTGCTCGGAAAGGCATCTGAGGTATTTCTCAACCAGTAAAGTTGGAAATCCGCCATATGACTTATGATGTGATGGTGTGACTTAAAATCAGTTCGATCAATAAATAAAACATTTCGTCGATATAAAAAAGCAAATGGTGAGTAAACAATTATTTCGTTCTGGAATGATCTGTATTTTGGTCGATAACTCCAGAGTTTTTTGAATGCAAGTAATGAAGAAGAGAAAAAAACGTTCAAATAATTAATATTGAAATGCACAACTTGCAGTAGGAACTGTTAAACATTTACACAGTAAGACATATTAATTGAGCAAAAAGTTTTGTTAAAAATTTTATATAGTTACTTATATATAATGTTGTAACTTTTAACAACAGATAGATGCACTTTTAAATCGAATTCCTTTTATCAAAATAAATTTCTGTAACAACATTTCCGTTTGTTTGTTTTTTTTTTTTTTTTTGTTTTTTTTTTTTTTTTTTTTTTTGGTTTGTTTTGTTTTGTTTTATCTGTCTAATATATACACAAAGCCCTGACATCCAGAATTGGTGTCATTAAATAAAAAAGAAAGCGTACACATAACTAGTAAAATTAATATGACTCTTAGAACAATAAAATATAAGCAATCATAAGCATCATTTATAAAGGGCGTTCGAGCATTATAATGACGAACAGTCAGACCGTAAATATTAAACGGTCCATGGTAAGGCTGGCTGGCTGGTTTGTCCTTTTACATCCTGGTCCGAAGTGGTGTGTACTGTTTCAAGTACAATATACGTAAAGTTTTCTAAAACAATGTCAGCATTTTTTTTTAAATTGTTTACTAACATAATGCGAATTTTGGTAAAATCCACTGGGCTATTAAACACCTTTGAATTTGTGAGGATATTGGAGCGAGGAATTCCCGAAATCTGTCAATCAGAATATATAGGTCATCTGCTAGATCCTGAAATAATAACTGAATCTTAAATAATATCAATTATATAATAAAGCATTTAATTCTTTCTACCAATCAAATGAACCTTAAAAACAAGCATATAAAACCTTATCATAGTCAACAGATTAACGGAAATATTACAAGTTCTGTAGCAAACAAAATGAGAACTTAAAAAAGAAGTAACACTCATTTAGGCATGTTTACCTACACTTTCTTATTGACCAGTAGGAAATAAATGTTGGTCCCCTGGCATAGCAGATCACAAAGTACCAGTTTGCCATCAACAGTGCTCTTTGAATAAACCTAGTTTTCGAAAACTCTCAATTTCTGAATCATGATTTCAATTAATAATTTCATCTAGAGAATCTAATACATGTACCTACATGTAAAATAAAATTGATGTTCTTGAAAGAGATGAATTTTAAAAGTGCAACTTTGATTCCTAAATATGTGAATGTATTGTATTACAAAATTAATATATTGCAATACAAAGTTATTCTATGTTCAATAAAAGTGTTTGAATTATTAATCATTAATTATTAAATTGTTTTGTTGATTACAGGTTAAGACTGTATTTGGAAAAAAAATATAACATTAGAAGAAATGTATAAACATATAATTTGCAGAAAGAAATGGTCTGAAAAAAATCATTTGTACTAGACTTTCAATCAGATTCCTACATGCATGACCATTTTGGTGCAGCAGCACGAACTTTCAGAGTTTTCATCAAATGATGTACATAATGAAAGTTTATGACTGGACAATTAATGCAGATGTCTTTGAAAAATGTGTATAATTATAATACATGTAAAATATAGATGAGCCGCGTCACGACAAAACAAATATAGTGCGTTTGCGACCAGCATGGATCCAGACCAGCCTGCGTATCCGCGCAGTCTGATTAGGATCCATGCTGTTCGCTATCAGTTTCTCGACTTGTAATAGGGTTGGTAAGCGAACAGCATGGATTCTGATCAGACTGCGCGGATGCGCAGGCTGGTCTGGATCCATGCTGGTCGCAACCTATTATGTTAGTTTTGTCGTGACACGGCTCAGATAATTTTATTATTCAAAGTTCATATGAATAATTCTTCAAATATTAATCTTAATAAAAATTCTCAACAGATTGAGATAAATTGTTTCAATGGCTTTCATTAGTGATGCTGCATATCCATTAGTGATGCTGCATCTGTTAGGTCACCATGGATTATACCAAGAAAGTGGCAAGTTACAGACTATAAACTGGAACCGTACTATGATAGCAAACTGTCCTTTATGAGCCTCGTCAGATGACTCATCAGCTAATAACGCAGAACAATGAGCTGTTTGCATTTTTTCGAGCAGTTGTATCTTCAACACAAAGTTAATAGAAGAAACTTGTCATGATACAGTTGTAAACGATGTATACATGTTTTTTATGACAGATGACTTTCCAGTGAAAGCACCCATGAATTCGTTTGCTATAAAACGTAGCATTGGCTTAAAACTAGTTTCCATCGCTTGGTAACAATAAAATACAAATCTGATTTAAAACACTGAACATAACATCTGTTTTTTTTTTCGAAATTGAATATACATGTATATTATGTTCCTTTTACTTCAATAGTTTCTGAC